TTCTTTCTCTCCTTTTTTTTTTTTTTTGTTTTTTTATATCAACTGAATTCACATTATATGGTTGTTTTTCTTGTCTGAAATTTTTCGTTGTTGTAGCCAGCTCTCAGAAGGTGAAAGTTTAGGTTGTAATCTTGTTGTTGCCTCTTCCTTTTTCAGTAGTCTTATTATTTGTAGTTTCTGTGTGTATCATTCTAGGGTCTTCAACTGTTATGAATGTTGGTTCCTTGTTAGTATCTCCCCTTCTCACTGAAGCCAATTTTTAGTCCTCCATCTTTATGTTTTCTGGACATGAGCTTCCGCTTTCCAAACAAAAATAATAATAATAAAATTGAATTCCTTTTATTGCTCAACTCAAATCTATTTTTTATCCATTATTGTTCTTTTGAATTCGTAAAAACTGTTCGCTGTGGATATATTTTGTGTTTTATGAAGACTTAAGAGATTGTGCACTTGAGAAAAAAAGGAACATACTTTCGAAGCATGTGAGAAAATTATGGTGCAACTTTTGTTTCTCAAATCTTTACCTTGAATTCATTTATCTGAACATCCAATTCTCTAATCTTAAAATTTTATTATATCTCTAGGGAATTTTTATTCGAACTAGCTGATAACGCAATATATTTTATATGATGGACAAGGTTGAGGTAATTGTGTTTCTTTATACTTGTAAGATATTTGTTAAGTTTCGAAAATAATTATATTTATCTTTTATTTTCATGTTGTATACTTAGAAGTCAACTAAAAAAGCTTGTAAGAGTTCTAAACGTTGAAGTACTGCAATTGTCGTAGCAATTCAAGAGACCAATAAAAGACTAAGAGTTTCCAGTTTCCAGTGAAGCCAAAAATACTATATCTACTCCAATTATCGATGAGCAAAACCCACCGCCATCAAATGTAAGTGCTCCAAAGAAGAAAAGAGGCCCAACTCAAGTGAAAATGGTTCCTGAACATAATTATAAAAAAAATGGAGCTTGAATTCAATGAATTTGGGCAAGTAGTTGGCAATAACTCCAATAAATTTGCTAGCGTTGTTGGAGCCATGGTACGAGAATATGTACCTATTACAATTAAAGACTGGCATTCAACGGATGAAAAGAAAAAAAATGGAACTTTGGACTTTCATACAGGTACATTTCTTAACTAACTTTTTACGACTATTTATTGTATCACTTTCTTTCTTATTGACGCCATTCTTTGAAGTTTTAAAATATATTTGTGAACAAATGTAGCAAAAGTTCGATGTCA